AAAAAAATCCAGATGACTTAGGAAACTTCATCTTCTTAAAAATTGGCTAATGATCCAGATAAAATTTCAATGAACAATTCTGATGTTAAAGGTCCATTGAAATACATTGGGCCAATTAAAGTGATCTCCCATATTCCGCACCACACATTCACCGATCAACGCACTTAGTGGTAATTCGGTCGTATTGGATGTGGGTTTTCGGGGGACCAATAATGCGTATTCTGCGTATTAATAGTGCCTTGCCTCGAGAACTGGCATTCATCCGACCACAAAACTTCATAAAAAAAATCGGGAGTTTCATCCAGTGTATTCAACACGAAATTGCAAAAATCAAAACGACGCTCCTGGTCTCCGGACATTAATTCCCGTGCCAGGACTGGACTATAAGGATATGCACCGTACGTATATAATATGTTCCACACCGTCAATTTTGAGTAGGAAGAAGCCTTGCTAATATCCCGGACACTACTTTCAGGATGAGCCAGGGCATATCCTAGAACATTCTCAGCGGGTATCCGCAAGCTTGAAGGTGTGGCACGAGACAAAGGAATACGTCTATGACAACTCCCGGTCTTATACAAGCGTTGAACAGCACGTGCAATTGTACAATAAGATGGATTCTTCGACGGGGAAATTTAATTGCATAAAGTCTTGCCGCATATCTCTTATTTCGATTACACTGCGCATGCAACAGAATCGTTTCGCGGTATTCTTCATTTGTATACATCTCGTTCTCCCGTACAAGAATTCGTAATATTGCAATTGCTAGCGACTACACAACAGATTTTTAATAATCACCACGATCAGTACCACAGTAAATCAGTCTGAAGCCTCAACAAATAAGCCTATTTTTTTGGAACTGCTTTTGAAATGTTTTCTTCGTCCAAAATATTTTATTTTTTGAATGTTTTACACGTGCACAGAATAAATTTTATTTTTTAAGTACTCAATTATTGTATTATTAACGTATGATTTTAAATTTAAAAACGATTTACATAAAAGTGACGTGCAAGAATGAAAGTTTCCTGGCAGAGTTCCAATTAATTTCACTTTGGAGACGGCCCCTTACTAGCTTCTTGAAAAAGACCGTGAAAATTGAGGAAATATACGATTTTGAAAGTTCCATTGCTCGGCCAGTTTTTATCGTAATAAAATGAAACTTTTTGTGTTTACTTTGTTTTTGTGTACTGCATGTTTTTCTAAATATAAGTGATAAAACCTGGAGAACGTATAAAAGTGTAATTTTTGTAATTTTTTTCTAAGCAGGCTTTTTGGTTCGAAAAGCACGTAAAAACATTCCTTGATTTTTAAAACATTTTTCAAATTGGAAGTACATGTGTAAACCAAACGGTTCGAAAATTAGCTATTGAATCACATTAAGGCTGGACACCCTGTATATACACTGGTGTCCAAAAGTTAAGCATAATTGATAATTATGCGAATAAAGTAGGAGCGATAAATAAGGATGGCGGGAAACGTGATATGCGAGTGTAAAATGGTTATAAAATAAGGAAGCAAATTAAAAGAATGATAATAATTAATGTTATTATCCAAAGTAGCAGTTTGAAAGAAAACTGAGCATAGCAAGAATACACACTTTAAAGAAAAAATGAAAGAAAACATTAAATAAAATACTGATGCTGCAGTTTCATAAGGCGTATGGTCACCTCTGACAGCCAGGCACTTTGCAGAGTGATTTACTATATTTTCTCTAGATGATGAATGAGTTGTGTGTTCAAGCGGTTCCAAGTTTATTGGAGAGCTCTCTTCAGTTCTGTAAAGGAGCTTCGTGGGTGCGAAAGGGCTGCAATTGGTCTCCCGAGCATATCCCATACATGCTGGATAGGATTTAAATCAGGGGAGTTCGCAGTTTAAACCGAGACTCGTCACTGAACATCACATTGGCCCACTCTCCCACACTCCCCCAATGTTGATATTCCAAACTCCAATTCAAACGAGCGCGTTTATGCGCAGACTTGAGGGAAATGCAAACTGCTGGTCTTCTGGCATACAGGCCAGCATGATTGAGTCTCCTGTAAACAGTTTGTCTCGAAATTCGTATTCCTGTGGCGACTGTGAGCGCCGAACCCAGTGCTCTGGCAGTACTGCCCCCTGTGACGTCACGCACTTATTACCAGATATCGGTTTTGGCGAGGTGTTGTGACTCTTGATCGACTTGATACTGGTTGTCGGGTAACATCTCCCGTTCTTTGAAACCTCTGCCACAGTCTTGAGATCACAGACTGGTCCGCATTCAGAATTCGAGACACTTCGGTTTGTGATCGTGAGGATTCCAGCATTCGAACGATTCTTTCTTTAGGAAACATGTCCAATTGGCGTCTTTGTGTCATCATTCACCTTGTTTGATGGTTAACAACGTTCCTTCGCACAGCAGTTGCACGAAATTTGTCTAAACTGCCTATGCTGCGTGAATCGGTTTCTCCGCGTTCCGACATGCGCTGATGTTTTGCGCAGGACGTAGTCCACTGAAAAGTTTTGCATAAACCCAATGTTTGTTCTTCCCCCAATTAATATCCGCAAGAAATTTGGAATAATTTTACGAACATTTACTCCATGTTTTTCGCATTTTACGATTTATTCTGAACTTTTGGACACCAGTGTATATACTAGCAGTTACTCGCTCGCTTCGCTGGGCCTTTCATGATATTTTATAAATATATCCTGTTTATATATATATATATATTATTGATATCTAAGTCTTAGTATTAAGAATTCGATTGTATTGAAAAATATACTTATAACTGTAACTCTCGCATCTTCATATAAAAAAAGGCAAAAATACTAATTTGTATTATCTAATAATCTCTAAAATTGAGTATAGAATGATATTTGCACTTTCGTAACCCTATAATTAAGTGGATTTCCGCAAAACCAAATTTAGTTGGATCTCTACTCCGTAAAATAAACATGGAAGCCAAATTTATAGTCTAAATGTAATAGAGCAAAAACAAAATTTTTACTATCAATACCCCCCCCCCCCCCCGCCGTAATTCCGTTGAGACTCGATCTCCCAAACACTGTTCTTAACGGATTTTAATTCTACAAAAGAAAATTGCAAGCCACATTCTATTATTATAGTCCTTGTTGTTCAAAATAAAGAATTTTTTTCTGTTAACACGCCCCAGTAATCCCCTGCTTCCCCAGGAGTTGATTCCTGCCCAATGCATTCTTAGTGGATCCCTATTCAACAAAAGAAACATGCTTAACAAATTTCAAGTACGCAGGTCTAATAATTCTTAAACAGGATTTCCCCCCCTATAACACCCCTTGACTCCTCGCTACCCTCCTTGGGGGTCGATTTTTGTTTTACTCTTTTTTAGAGGAACTCTATTCCATGAAAGGAACATGCCTACAGATTTTAATCAGGTAGATTGAATAGTTTAAAAACGGAAATAATTATCTATTACGCCCCTTAATCCCCCGAAATGAAACTTGGTGGTTATTTATCTCGAAACCCATTTTGTAGAGGTTCTATACTCAACGAAAGGAATCTGCTTACCAAATTTCAAGACTGCACGTTTTAAAATAGGAACAATTATCTATAACCCTTTTGAGCCCCCGCAACGCCACCTGGGAGTCGATTTTTACAAAACATATTATGTAGTGGATATTTACTCCATGAAAGGATTCTATTTATCATATTTAAAGACTGTACTTCCAGGAGTTTAAAAATGGAAGTAATTACTCTATAACGCCCCTTAAGCGACGCAACGCCATTTGGGGGTCGATTTTCACATAACCCATTTTGTAGCGTGTCTTTACCTTATGAGAGGAATCTGCTTACCAAATTTCAAAACTGTGCATCTAATAGTTTAAAAATAGGAATAATTATTTTTATCTCCCCTTAACACCCCTTGCGGGTCAATTTTCCCAAAACCCATTTTGTAGCGCATATTTACTTCATAAAAAACATGCCTAGTAATTATCAAGCAGGTAGGTCAAGTAGTTTACAAACGAAAATATTTATCTTTTACGCCTCTTAATCCCTGCAACGCCACCTGGGGGGGGGGGTATTTTCCCAAAACCCATATTGTAGCTGATCTCTACTCTATGAAAGGAATTTATTTATCAAATTTAAAGACTGTGCGTCTAATAACTTAAAAATGAAAATCCTATAAAGCCCTTTAAGCCGACTTGGGGGTCAATTTTCCCAAAACCCATTTTGCAGGGGATATGTACTTCATGAAAGAAACATGCCTAGCAATTTTCAAGCAGGTAAGTCAAGTAGTTTATAAACGAAAATATTTATCTCTTACGCCCTTAATCCCCTGCAACGCCACTTGGGTGTCAATTTTCACAAAACCCATTTTGTCGGGGATATTTACTTCATGAAATAAACAGTCCTAGCAATTTTCAAACAGGTAGGTCAAGTAGTTTATAAACGAAAATATTTATCTCTTACGCCCATAATCCCCTGCAACGCTACTTAGGGTCTATTTTCCCAAAACCCATCTTGTAGCTGAGCTCTACTCTATGAAAGGAATTTATTTATCAAATTTAAAGACAGTGCGTCTAATAACTTAAAAATGAAAATCCTATAACACCCCGCAACTCCACTCGGGGGTCAATTTTGAACAAACTCATTTTGTAGCGGATCTCTACTCTATGAAAGGAATCTGCTTAACCAATTTCAGGATTGCACGTCGAGTAGTGTAAAAATGGAAACAATTATTTATAACACGCCTTAAACCCTGTAACGCCCCTTGCAGTTCGAACTTTGCAAACTCCGTTCATAGCTTATCTCTACTCTTTGAAAGGAACATGTCTACCAAATTTTAAGTCTGTAGGTTGAATAGTTCCGGATATATCGTGATTAGTCAGTCAGGGAGTGAATCACTTTTCTCCTTTTTTAAACTTGTGGATGACACTTATTGTTAATACAGTTTTTTACAAATATTAGTTGTACAATTAATGAATAAATAGTAAGAAACAAAAATAATAGTCCAACACGTTATATAAAAAGGAAAGTCGCTTGTTGTGTCCTTGTAGCATAATATATAGCACGTTGAACTTTTAATTCAAAGGTCGTGGGTTCGAATCCCACCGGGGATGGACTAATTTCTGAGAATGTGATTTCTTTTTACTATACTAATTGCATTTTTTTCATTTTATTAGTGAATAAATGATCACAAACAAAAATATAATTTAACACCTTATATAGAGAGAAAAACTGCACTTTCTACACTGGTGGCCACCTCAAATGCAACAACCCTGAAGGAAGTCCGCAAATAACATGAAATTTACAACAACCATAGCAGAGGTGAGATATGCAAACGATTAAAATTTCAGCGCAGACACACATCACGGCACGCCTGTGGCGCACCTTCAAAGCGCTATTTAAGGCTTGCAGATTTCGACGATTTCAAGTTTGGCTTTTTGTTTTTGTCTTGTGTTTTTTTGATGTCTCGTAGAAAACAGCGATCAGCTTTTGATCAAGTACCCGAGTCGACTGAGGAAGGATAGTGGCCTACCGAGGAAGTGGATTATCTTTCAGGGAAATCGGTAGTCGCATGTTGGACGAAACCAAGCAACTGTAATGCGGATATGTGACCGTTGGAGGCATTAGAGTACGACGGACCGTCGTGGTCGATCGCATCCACCTCAGTGCATTACTTCACTTGAGGACAGGCAGATTGTGCACATGGCAGTGACGGATCGCTCAGTCACATTACGAACCATAGCACAGCACATTGAGTTTGTAACGCATCATTCAGTGCCTGCGCGTACCATTCGACGCCGTTTACAGCAGAGTGGTCTGTCCGCAAGACGTCCATTGCTTGATCTACCCTTGACCCAAAACCACAGACGTCTTTGCCGCCAATGGTGCGATGAAAGAAGAATGTGGGCGGCAGAATGGAATGAAGTTGTCTTTACTGACGAGTCACGCATCTATTTGCAACACCACGATGGTCGGATTCGAGTCTGAAGACGCCGTGGAAAGAGGATGCTGAACAGCCACACTGGTCGTGTACCGGATATTTTGATATGGGGTGGTATTGGATATCACTCTCGCTCTCCTCTAGTACGCATTGCCGGTACTTTAAACAGCCAGTGCTACATCTCTGAGGTGTTGGATCCACAGTTGTCCTTCCTTACCTTAAGGGCTTGGCCACCGCCATATTTCAACAGGATAATGCGCGACCACATGTGGCACGCATTTTCCAAAGGTTCTTCGTCAATCACTAGATTGAATTGCTTCCCTGGCCGGCTCGCTCATCGGATCTTTCGCCTATAGAAAACATGTGATCTATGGTTGCTCAACGATTGACCCAGATTACACCCGCGGCTGCCGCACCAGATCAACTTTGGCAACGTGTGCTGTACTCCAAGAACACATCCAAAGTCTCTTTGAATCCATGCCGAGGCGTGTAGCAACGGTGATCTCCAACAATGGTGGCTACTCTGGCTACTGATTCTGGCAGGAACCACACTTCGCAGAAGTCTATAAATTTAATCATTTGATAGTTGGTCAACATGTTGTCTACAAAATAAATTTCGTTGTGCTATCCGTTGTCTTTCTTGGTGTCGCATTTACGGTGGCCACAGTGTATTTCACCATTTAATATTGTTTTTATGTCATATGCTTATACATATATATATATTAATTGCAATTATTTAATAAAAAAATAGACTAAAATAAAAAAATTTTCTTTGTTAAACTAAGTAGGAATTGACTTAATTTTTTTATATTACTCGTTTACCTCAGTTCGTTTTAATTGTTGGAATCTTGTTCATTAAATTAACAGGAGTTTAATTATATTTTCCTTCATCACAGAAATTAATTTTAAAGGCATCATATTTTAGTTTTCATTTGGAAAATAATGTTTTTTTTCAGCAATATTTTAATTGCAAAAAGAAAAACTTTTTTTATTTGGAACATATTTAAATCTATGATCAATTTGATGTTAAATATCGGTTGATTAGTTAGATAAATTCAAATATTCGTCATATATATATTTATTTCGTCATTCCTTAGAACAAAAGCGATATTCGATTTTTTTCAATATATATCTTAAAATTTTTCATTATTTTTTATACTAGATTTTTACTTTCTTATCCCAGTAAAACTAGTAAAAATTTATTCTCTTTTGTCACGAATTCCTCGAAAAAACAAAATATAAAATTATGTCGATTTTCTGAATAGAATTTCTTTTTACTCTCGATATAGATATAAAGAACATGACTATGCTTCACATTCCAAAGTTCCTTAAAAAATACATCCTTTATTTCTTCTCTAATGGAATTTTCACAAGTATGCGACTTTTTTGTTTTTCTTCAAAAAAAAAAAAAAAAAGGTTTTACTGAGTTAAAAAAATGTGATTCGATCCCAAAGAGAAAAATATAAAGAGTTCTAACTATATATTCTGCGCTTAATAATTTAATTCAATTTAGAAAAGAATGCGATACTTGTATTAGATTTAAATAAAGAATAGTTGTGTGTTAATTTTTTAATGTACATTAATATTAATGTACATTAATATTGATTTGATGTTTTTCAAAAAGTTCAATACTCATTTTAAAATATTACCTTTTGACAAATGCTTCAGGAAACAAATGTAAAATTCAAACATTAGCTGTAACTTTTTAAAATTTATGAAAATCTGGAACCAATATTTGAAATTTAATTTATTTGGACTGAAATGTTTTATTTAAAAAGCAATTTAATGAAAGTGTAACATTAATTACTTGTTTGATTACAATTTTGTAAAACATAGTCTTAATACGGTTTCTCTTTGAAAAAAAATATTTATATTTACTTCAAAACAAGAGACCGTTTGCAGTATGAACATTAAAGCATACCCAATTATGAGCTACTGCTTTCCTGGATGTGTTTTGTGAGTTGGTACAGTTATGTTGGTCCAATAATTGGGTATGGTGGTGTCAAAGAATGAAATCCACGTTCGTCGGATTTGACTTCACTGGCTTTTTTCTTAAGGGAGACACCTGAAACATCAAATGTATGCAACCTCTCCAAAAACATTGAACGACCTTAAATGACGCATGACGAACGCTTGTGTCATAGTGTTACACTCTGTGCTTCCATGTGCGCAACGTAAAATTCAAACGAAGATCCAAATGTGCATTGTAGTTGACCGTGAGAAGTTTGAACATCTCAAATGAAGGCATGATTGCGGTTTTTTAAGCAAGGTCCATTTGTTTTTTTTAAAGCATAATGAGAATCTTTTATTTTAGGATTGTACATATTTTTGTCTATTTTTCGACATAATTACCGATTTTATTAATGCACTTCTCATACCTTAAAACTACGTTTTGAAAACCCTGTTCAAAGAAGTTTGCCGCCTGGTCAGACAGCCAAGAGTTAACGGCCGCTTTCACTTTGTTGTCACTGAAGCGCTTCCCGCCAAGACTGTGTTTGAGGTACCGGACAAGGTGAACATCGATGGGGGAGCAAGGTTGGGGCTCTGTATAGAACATGCTCAGAAAAACTCCCAAGTTCGAGAAGTGTCGGACCTTGCGTTGTCGTGGAGGAGCAAAACACTTTTTAACAGTATGCCGTGCCTTTTGTTTTACAATGCTCTTCCGGTGCCTCAAACACAGTCTTGGCGGGAAGCGCTTCAGTGACAACGAAGGAGTGAAAGCGACCGTGAACTCTGGGTTGTCCGACCAGGCGGCAGACTTCTTTGAAGAGGATTTTCAAAACGTAATTTTAAGGTTTTTGACAAGTACACTAATAAAATCGGCAACTATGTATAAAAAATAGGCAAAAGTATGTACAATCCTAAAATAAAGGTTTTTTTAAAACTAAATATTATCGTTATTTTCTTAAGAAAACAAACGGACCTTACTTAAAAAACAGTCCACGTAAATTGTTATTTCTCAGTGCTTCTAAAACTTTCAATATTTCCGACCCAATTTTCAATCATAATTTTCATCGCACCGCCTCCTTCCATAGAAATAACAATGCACTAAATTCAGTAACACTGTATTTTGACACCAAAGCTACAATACAACTTTAACCTCTTGAGTGCATTCGGCGCGTATATATACTTCTCACTAAACTGATGCATTAACTGCCTTGGACGTATATGTACGTCTTGCCGAAGTACGATCTTTTATATGCACTGCGATGCACAAATTATTTCGAAGGCTTCGGAATACATCACAAGACCCTTGACAGTGCTTGCGAAGGATTTACTTATATCTAAGGATTTCCGTATTTATTCCTTTTCTTTCCCTCTCCCCCAATACATCACATACGCATGCCTATGTGGAAAACGGAGGCATTGAGGAGCGAATCACGTAAATTTTAATCAGCAGTGAATAGATTATTAATAAACCATACAAATTACCAAGATAAGTGTTAATTTTTGTACATAATTTTTCTTGTGACAAGGTCATGGGTTTACTGGTGATTATTATAAATTTGTTCTTAACTTAGTATTGTTAAATTAATTATAAAATACATTTTTCAATACTGATACATTTAAAAGTGCATTATATCAGTGTCAATGTTAATTTTATTCTTTATTACATCGGAATGTATTTTGTTTGCTTTCAATGAGTTATTATTTTTTTAAAATAATCTTTTGGTTTTGACTTTTTTAAAAATACTCACGCCTTTCTCGTAGAGTTATTACGCTCCCTTGCTGTGAAGGGTGCTACACAGTTTTAGAAACACTGTTATGACTTTATATATAGTTTTGTTTTTTCTTTCTCAAACAGTTTTTCTCACTTCACAGAGTAGGGAACTCATGAAAAAAAATGCGTGAATACTAACTGTAAAATAATAACCGTTTCATTATTTGCCTGAATGTCAACAAGGCATCTTTTCGTACTAAATCGATGTTACTCTATAACTTTGTAAGTCCCTTATCTCGTTTCATTTTCGAGCTAAGCATTCTAACTTTGCAGTTTCCCACCAGGTGGTACTGAAAGTAGTTTTATTCAATAGAGCATGACTACTTTACTATACCTAGACGCCACTTATGTGAATATAGCAGCAACCTTTTCGAAGATAAGAGAATGGCAATGGGCTAAAGCGGGCATTGTGTATAACAGAGGTTCCCAAACTTGTTTGTCTCATAGACCCC